CCGTGTGCCATCCAGCTTCAGCTGCTCAAGAAAAGCAATGAACAAAACATGTTATTCCTGGAGTTTATGACCCACTGAGGAGAAACAGCATGTAAACTACATGGTATAACTAGTTACACAGTGTTTTATGCCTGTGATCCTGGCACTCAGGCACAGATGCAGGAGGATGATAAGTTTAAGATCAGACCCCTTGTCCAAACCAAACAAAATAAAGCAACCCTTTCATGGTATGCTGCTGTGAAGTCAGTGTAACAAGGTATGGTAACAGACAGGGGGAGAGGACACTGAAGACCAGAGGAGAGGTGAAATACTACATAGGATGGTGATCACGCCTCCTTATAAAGATGGTAGAACCAAACAAAGACTTGAAGGAGGTGAGAGATGAAGGCACCCAGGAGGAAGAGTGTTCTAGGCAGAGAGACTCTCAGACGGTACTTTCTCATCATGTTTAGGAACTACAGAGGAGGCCTTCAGGGAGTGAGAGTGGAAGAGTCCACAAGACTGCCATTACTGACCGTCACTCGGAGCGAGGTAAAGGGCAGTCTTTGCAGCAACTCTGTGGGTATGTATGCTGTTACCCTCTATTGCACACACAAGAAATCAGTGGCTCAGAAAAGCCAATTAGTTTCCCAAATGTCTCGGTGATGGTAACAGAATAGCAACAGGCAGGAGGATAGCTGCAAGTTCAAGGACAGCCTGCGCTATCCAATGAGAGTCAGGCAACCTGGCCTTCAAAGTAAAATGCCGTCTCAAAAAAAAAAAAATACAAATAAATAAAAATCAGGCTCCATAGCATACCACTGTAACCAGGTCACATGCTATCCCCAATCAACTTGAGTAGGACCCAGAGTTCTGGATGATGGGGTGGAGCCAGGGTCAGATGGCAGAGTCAAGTCATTTTAGGGAAGAACAATGAATTAGGAATAAACCTTGGTAAATCTCAAGACAGAAAAGAGGCAGAAGTAAGGAAGATGACCACAGCAGACACAAACTCCCTCCCCAAAGAACCATCTGTCCCTCAGGCCCTGGCAAGAGGACTCACCTAAGGCTTCGGAAGCTTCCCACCTCTGTCTGCCCAGGAGTCCGTTCCTCAGGGAAGTCCCAGGAAGCAGCTTCTATTCCTTCCTCTTCCTCTTCACCAGCTTCACCACATAGCTGCCTGGCCAGAAGAGGCACGAGGCCCAGAGCCTGTAACTTGCCCAAGGCCCCAGTATCATAAAGGAAGCCTACAAGAGCAGCCACAACACGTGGGTGCCAGGCACTGGCACCAGGGTCCTGCAAGAGGCCCATCAGCAGCTCCAAACCACCAGCATCCCGAAGCCGGGCCCGGTTGATGGCTTCCCGGCACAAGAGACACACAGCCCGCACTAGGGGCTGCTGGGCAGCTGAGCTGGTCCCGCTGGAACCCCGTCGTCGCCTAAGCTCACCTAGTAACACCTCCACACCACCAGCATTGCCCAGTGCAGGCCGCACCAGGCCCTGAGCACACAGATTGGCAAGGATCAGGATGGCTGCCTCACGTATTGGCCGTTTAGGGTGAGAAGCCAGGCTGACAAGTGGGCCCAGTCCCCCACCCAGACTCAGCTGCTCAGCACAGGCCCGGGAACAGCCTCGGCTGAGTTCCAAGAGAGCACGGACTAGGGCCGAGGTCAGTGCGGGGTCTGGGGCAGTAGCCAGGAGCTCAGCCAGTGGCCGAACTGCTCCCTGTTGTGCTAGGGCTAGGCGGTGCTGGGGTGAGTCTGCCAAGTTGCGGAGGGCACGAACTATGCTCTGTAGACATTGTGAGTCCTGGTAGGCTGTCAGGCTCTCAACAAGAAAGGGAACAGCACCTGGAGAAGGGAGAGGAAGATAGATGATGAGCAAGGGTAGACATGGAAGCCCTCCTCCTGCAAGTCTCAGCTAAGCCCACTCTCACAGCCTCCTTACCAGCAGAGTGGATGTCCCTGCAGCTCTCAGGTTCCATGGCTAAGTTCCCCAGTGCACGAGCCGTTCGGTTCTGGATGCTGTCTATCTTTACACATTGAAGAATGGTCACTGCAAGGACAGTTTGTCTGCTTTGAAGGCTCTACCCCTTATTTGTTTCTAATTAATCATGTCAAGAATGTGGTAAATGTCTAGATGAAGTTCAATGGTATCAAGCTTGTATCAAGCCCTGAGACAATCCCCAACAATCCAAAAAGAGAGGGAGGAGTGCTATGGAATATTCCTGTACACTGTAAATTATGCTCTGATTGGTTTAATAAAGAGGCTGACTAACCACAGCCAGGCAAGAAAAGGTTAGGTGGAAAACTGAACTAGGAAAACCAAATTAGGAAGGGAAGAAGAATGGCGGAGTCAGGGAGCTACCCAAGCCAGTCACAAGGGAAACAAGATGCTAGAGGACACGTAAAGCCACAAGCCATGTGGCAATACATAGATTTATAAAAATGGGTTAACTTAAATATAAGAGCTAATTAATAATAAACCTGAGCTATCGACCGAGCATTTGTAATTAATGTAAGCTTTTGTGCGTTTATTTGGGACCAGGTAGTCAGGACAAGAAAACTCTGAGGGAGAGAGAGGTATGAGAGAGGAGGAAACAAACATGATTTGAGAAGGTTAGGGAAGAATCTTTAGAAGATGCTAAACAGTGAGCAAGAGTTAGAGGACTGAATGGATATTTGCCAGAAGGATGGTAAATGGAAAGGCTAGCGTGCCTCAGGTTTGAAAGCAGCGTTTCTAAATGCCCCACGGTAATAGTGTCACAACAGTTCAGTAATTTCACATAGTCCCTCAAATAACTGTCCGAGAGTCAAAATTTACATGAGAGGGCACAGCAGCCACAAAAGGGTTTTAAGAGTGGAAGTGACCTATACACTCTGGCAACTGTAGTGATGGGGGTATTACAAGACAAGGATGGGGCCAGAAGAATGGCTGAAGTTGTCACAGTAGTGAAGGTAACTTGGCTTGAACCAAGTCAGCTTTCATTTCTGACAAACAAAAGGTAATCCTGCCCAGCACAGAAATGTGGAAGCAAGGTTAGAGAGAACTTGGTATTTACAGGGGCTATTGTCAAGCCTCTTGGCAAACACAGTATTGTACAAGTGCATTCTATGCAAGTTTTAAATATATAAATGCTTCACTTTAAAAATTAAGATTTTTAGGTGGTGGCTCACATCTTTAATCCCAGCACTTGGGAGGCAAAAGCAGGTGGATCTCTGTGAGTTCAAGGCCAGCCTGGTCTACAAAGCAAGTTCCAGGACAGACTCCAAAGCAATACAGAGAAACCTTGTCTCGAAAAACCAAAAAAAAAAATTAAGTTTTTTTTTGTTTTTTGTTTTTGTTTTTTTGTCAAAACTGGCATACTATCAGAGGAAAAGCAATGACACAACTTTGTTCCCATCATCACCATTAGGAGGCGCCAAATGAGCGAATACACAGAAAGGCTTATCCTTTTCTGTAATTTACTGTTTACTGTGTGTTTCTAAGTACCCAGCCTGAGCTTGGAGTCTGGGCATTTTATATTTGAATTTCATTTTATGCCCACTTCAATCTTGGATTCTAGTTTTGGAGGGGCTGGGTGATTTGCCCGCTATGTCTGACTGCACCACTTTCTAAGTCCATTCGCCGAACTTTTAAAACTACACTTTTCTGACCTCCAGCTCATCCACGTGAAGCCTTGCACAGGGACGGACACAGCAGTAAGCACTGTCCGCTGTAACACCAAAAGTAGAAAGTGCAAACCATTCGCTCAAAAGTGGGGCAGGAGCCAATACCTAATCCTGGTCTGGGCGGGTCCGGGTATAATTTATGGGGAGCAGTGACGTCACACAGCATGACCCCTGAGAAGGTTGAGTGGCGCGGCACCATCACAAAGCGCGCACTCAGAGGCGTGACATAAAGAACTAAGGATTGCACAGCTCCTGTGGGCGGAACCTTTCTAAGCAATGGGGCGGAGCACTTACCCAAAGGGAGAATGCCTCCAAGTCTACGCACTTCGGCTCGGCACGCCTCTTCCGTACAGCAGTTGGCTAGAATGCTGAGCGCCAAATCCAGCGTCTTGCGCAGGCGCACTGGCGACGAAGGTGTCAAAGGCGACTCAGGAGCGGGGGCGGGGCCAGGGGAAGAAACAGCTGACGCAACCGACGAAGGGGCGGAGCCAGAGCCTGCATGGGACGGGGCGGGGCCCGCAGCAGCCGTTCGGCGTAGCAAGGCGAGAAGGGGGCGGAGCCCGCCGCGTGCCCGGAAGCGCTCAATTCCGTCTGCTGCCTTGATGTGGCGCGTGCGGAGGGCTAAGAGCGCGCGGCCCAGGGGTGTCTCGTTGGTAGCTGGGTCCTTTCCCCAACCCGGCCCCTCCCCGGCCGCCGCCGTGAGCTGCGCGAGGCAGAACGAGAGAGAGTCCGTAAGGGCCGGTCTCGCAGCCGCCATCTTGGCCCGGGGCTAAGGCTCCGCCCCGCGTCTCGCCGGTTCTCTGAGAGAGCGGAACTGGAAGAGAGGGGCGTGGCCAGGCTGCTCCTCTGAATAGCGCCGCCGCAGTTATCATGCGAGTCGGAAGTAGAAGTTCTAGATTCTGGAACTTGGGTACTAGCACAGTCTCAGAAGACATGGCGAGAAGGGTATTTATCTGTGTGACAGTAAGAGGCGCGTGCGGTGCATGCTGGGATATGTAGTCAAGCCCAAGCTTAGAGCAGTTTGAGGTGCGTGAGAAACTCCGCCCAGGGCTTAAGGGTGAGCTCTTGCTTCTAGAACCAGGCGGCCCGCTGTGGAGTCTGTGCTGCTCAACGTGACTTAGCTACTTCGCTGCCGGTACGTCCTTGTCAACGACCGCCTTTCCCCATTCAGATTTTATTGACAACCCCCAAGCGTGGTGGTCTAGGGTCCCGAAGCCGGACTGATGAACTCCAAGCTCTCGTTCAGTGAGAGAGTTAAACCTACCGAGAAAGTTCGCTGCTGCTTCCTAGAGCTGCTCGGGCTTGTAGACCTTTCCGTTTCCGGTGGTGGCCTCCAAGCCCCCAGTGCTGACGAGCTAAACGGGTGGCGAGCGCTCTTCGCCCGCAATGGAACTTGCGGCGCCAGAAGCTGCTAGGGAGAATCCAGATGGGGCGAAGCTGCTGGGGAACCGGGCATCAAAATTCCCGGGAGTCCTCAAGTCGTCCCTCGATCGCGAGGCTGAGTTGCATGAGCGCCCTCTCCTGGCGCTGCCGGAGCAACCAGCCGCCGGGGGAAAGTTGCTAGGCCAGCAGTACCTATGTAGGTCAGGCTCTGGCCCTGGGGAAGAAACCTTTGCCAAGACCAATGATCCTGCAGTCCACAAAGCTTTCAGGTGCCGGAATTGTGGGCTGACTGTAGCCAGCCTCTCTGACCTCATTCACCATCAAAACAGCCATGGGTGTGACCGGCCTTACAGCTGTCCAGAGTGTGACAAAAGCTTCCGGCGTGGCTCAGATCTGGTTAAGCACTACAGGGTACACACTGGTGAAAAACCTTACCCCTGCCCAGAATGTGGCCGTTGCTTCAGCCTCAGCTCCAATCTCACTAAACACCGGCGTTCTCACTCAGGTCTCAGACCTCATAAGTGTATGGAGTGCGGAGAGGCCTTTGGCCGCAGTGCAGACCTAGCAAAACACCTGCGGGTGCACACTGGGGAGAAGCCCTATGCTTGTGTTGAGTGTGGTAAGACTTTCAGGGTTAGCTCCAACCTGATCCAGCACCAGCGTACTCACACTGGCGAGAAACCCTACGGCTGTGGACTCTGTGGCAAGAGTTTCAGCCTGAGCTCTAATCTTTTACAGCACCAGCGCTGTCACACAGGTGAGAAACCCTACTTCTGCTCCTGGTGTGGAGACAGCTTTGGGCGCAGTTCCTATCTGCTGGAACACCAGCGTTCACACACAGGTGAGAAGCCCTACAATTGCTGTGAGTGTGGCAAGAACTTCACCAACAGCTCCAACTGCCTAAGGCACCAACGCACTCACAATGGAGAACCGCCTTTCAGGTGTCTTGAATGTGGACGTGGCTTCAGTAAGAGCATCATGTTCATTGAACACCAGCGCATCCACTTGAGCAAATGACTGACCTTTCCGGGATGTGGCAAAATCTTATACCACAGCTCCATTAATGTTCACACGTGGGCAAAAAGCCCTAGAAGTTAGCCGGGCGGTTGTTGCCCACGCCTTTAATCCCAGCACTCGGGAGGCAGAGAGGCAGATCTCTGTGAGTTCAAGACCAGCCTGGTCTACAAGAGCTAGTTCCAGGACAGCCTCGAAAGCCACAGGAAAACCCTGTCTCCAAAACAAAACAAAACAAAACAAAAAGCCCTAGAAGTTTCCTGGTTGTGGGTAGTATTTTGTGGACAACACCAGCATATTCACATAGACCAAAGACCTTACATTTGCAGTAAGTGTGCCAGGAGCTTCAGGCAGATTTCCCACTTGTTCTTCTACCAAGTGACCCACAGTAGCAAGAAGACTTCTAAAACTCCCAACTTTTTCTAACACTAATGGATTACCAAAATGGGAGCTTCTACAGATATCCCTGGCTTCAGCTTTAATCTACATTTTGTCTTTGGATTTGGTCCAGCCCTGAGAAGCCTGAAGGAACCATCTGGACTGAGACAGAAATCCCAGACTAGAAGCACAGCACTAGAGCTATGGCTACTACCTTCAATGAGACTATATTTTAAAGTGGCGGGGGGGGGGTCCTCTTCTATGAGATTCCATTTAGAATATCCATTAGCTAGAGGGAAATTTTAGATGTCCAGAGCCATATAACCCTGACCAGCTGCTTTGAGATAGGTTAACCATAACAAAAGAACAATTACTGTTTCTCAGAGGAAGAGGACTTACAAGCCAGGCAAAGTTCCTGTTGAGGACTACAGTAGCAAGAGGATGAAGGTGGGCCAGAGGGGATCATAAAGAAGGCTATGTTCTAGCAAAAGGACCAAAGAATTTGAATTTGGGGTTGCTACATAAGCTCTGGGTGTAGGATCCCATTCAGTGCACTTTCACCACTTAATAACTAACTGTCTTTACTGTTCACACAGTAAAGGTTGAAGCAAAGAAACAGACTTTGAGTTCAGGATGCTTTGTGGTATTTCTGGGCATAGGCAAAGGCCCAAGATTTGTCATCTGGCCCTTTCCTAGTCCTCAATCCCTTCCCTCAAAAAATTCCCCTGTTCCCCCCTCCCCAAACACTTCCTCACTCCCCTCAATGGAAGAATAGTGAAGACTTCTGGACTTTGGAGATTAAGTAGCCTTTTTATCTAACACAGAGGCAGGTTGCCCACCCAAATATATTTCTGCTGCTAAAATTAGTGTATATGAGAGCTGGGAGGTTTCCCAAAGCACCACATAGTCTTTAATCAGATCACAGTCCAAGCAGGGACTGCCTATTGTCCTGAGAGTCATGGACTAAGCTTTTTAAGGTTGAGGATAGAGTTTTCTGTTTCAAAGACCTAGTAAGTCCTTTGTGACATTCCTTTCATCCTTAACTGCAAAATCCTTGTCCCCTGCCCTCCAGTTTTGCTGCCATTTATTTAGCTTGTTGCATCTAGAACTGTCTATATATAGAGTAAGAGGCTAAGGAAGAATGTCAAGTTGCCCAGCCTCAGTTTCTAAGAGTCCAGGCTTGTCTCTTCCTAGCTGTGTGACCCATTACCTCTTCTGGGTCTCAGTTACTTCATCTGTGAAACATGCAATGTTCCTCACCAGGCTGTGAAGATTCCCTGAATATGCCTACCTTCATGAAGTACCTGGTTAGGAGAATGGCTCAGTAAGCCTCAGTTCTGAAGTCTGGAGTCCTGTTGGTTGTATCGTTCAGAAAGCATCATGGCAGCTCACGGAACAGCTTCTAAGATCACAGAAATGAACTAGACACTCCTGTAGTAGACTATTGTCCCATAAAGGCAATGGACCAGTAATAACATTGGGGAAGGGGTGTCACCTGGAGCAAATCTGAAAGGCATGACCCAGGTGACATCTAATGAACATCTCTGCCTCCTCAAGCTGGGTAGGAGAAACTTACTCCAAGAAGGAGTAAGTAATTAAAGAAATGATTCTTGATATGTTCCCATCAACAGTACTTCAAAAAACACAACCCAAGGTTTGAGTTGAATACATGAGCATAGCACATACATATCTCCTGCTTCTGAAATCTGCTTCTTTGGCACTCAATAAATAGCTATGTTTGGGTTCTGTTTACACTGCTTACTATTGGCCTTTGGCTGTATCTTCTGCTTCTGAAATCTGGTTCTTTGGCACTCAATAATAGCTATGTTTGGGTTCTGTTTACACTGCTTACTATTGGCCTTTGGC